GTCTGCCATTAAAAAACAAAAATCACCAAAAATCCGCCATGTTATTTAATAGTAGTTTTGCTGATGAAGAGAAACGGGGTTTTTCAATCAAAAGTTAGAATGCTCTAATAAAGTAGAATTTTTTTTAAAATACTTAAAAATTACTTTGTTCTTTCCTCTTAATAATAAACATTTTGACAATAAAATTTTGTTTTCGGCCGTTATTATCCTGCTATGCTCATTTTCCAACGATCTCATGCCAGTACCTATATTAGTCGTATATATATATATATATATATATATATATATATATATATATATATATATATATATATATATAGTACATGTAATTGATCCGTTGGTATATAATCTAGGTGGATCCTAGTAATATTAATTATTAAAACTGATCCACAGAGAGCTCGATGTTTTTATTTTAACAGTGAATATGTATTTTTTAAAGCAAAAACAAAAAATTACTTCAACATAGATATAGTCTATTTCAACCCGTTCTGTATACGGCTATCACCAGCCCCTAAGTGTCTGTCTCGAAGCATTGTTTTAAATTTATTTTCTATGTTAGTCCTCTTCTCGTAGACCCCTTGTTAATGAGAATGGTTTTGTGTTAGCGATTGGTGAGGGCATAAGGTATTTTATCCCGGGGGAAGCAGTCTGGAGTTTATTTATGGCCAGGACTTGTTGTTTGTAGTTTAATATCAGTTCCTACTATGTGGCGTTTCTTATAAAAGCCCTAGAGTTTGTTTTCCTGGGATTCACAATAAAAAGTTTTTGTACGGCAGGTGTTCAATATTATTAATAAGCGTTGGAGTATAAGATTAATGTAAATTAGTTGAATTATAGATTTATAGATTGTGGGTAATACCAGAACACCCAATGGAGATAAATCGTGCTGTCCAACACACTTATATGCGTACAGATATCATACATACATATATGTACATTTACATATCCATACATATATATCCACTAAACACACATACACCCCCATATATATACACATGTATTCTTATGTAATTTTGAATCTATTTCTATGTCGACATTTCGTGATTAGTTCTCTCCGTTGATTTAATAGCTTGCTTTGATCTTTATATTTTATTATCCTGATTTTTCTTCTAAACATAGTTTGCACCTATCCCTAAAACTATTGGGGGTGTTCGCGAAACCAAGAATTTTGTAATTTATTTGAGGATTCAGACCCTTTTCCTTCTTATTCCTAATTTTTTTTCGAAAGGGCAGTTTGGTGTTTTAATTTTGATTGATGAATGAATGTCTCTGTGTATTGATTCTCTCTTTAAATTCTCCTGCAGAAATTCCAGTGTAAATATTATGGTTTGTCGTATTTTCTTTAGGGTTAATGGTTGCCTGGTATACTACCCTAGTGGATCTACAATTGCCCTCTACTGGGCTTTTCTCCTTAATTCTACATTTACAGAGATATTCAATGATAGATTTAGTTTTTTTTTTTCTCATTAAATTTACTTAAAATGTAATTGTTATGGGAATTAATAATTTGGTACATATTATCAGTGCAGGAATAGCTAATTTTGATTAACTTCCTGTTGAATATCTTATTTAGAGGGGATTTTTGTTAAAGTGGTTAGTAATTAAATTTAGGAAATAGTGTCCGATGTTGATACTTGACAGTTTGCAGAAGAGTAGGGTTTGAAACAAGTGATTTTTCTTTTCCTATTTTGACACCTAGATTCCACTTTACGTGTATCAGTATTACTAATGGTAGTTGCGTAAGACAATTTGCTTTTGAATCCACTTTTTTGAAGGGCCTTTTTATATAGTTCTTTATTTTTATTAAAGATTTTTCATTGGATGATAGTTTACTAATCCTGGTGCAAACAGTAGTGGGCATTTGTCTTAGGATTGCATTGGGGTGGTTAGAACCGATATTAATATAGTTGGGGGTTTCGTTCTCTTTATGATAACATTTAAAGGTTTCATCATTAAGGTTAAGGGTGATATCTAAGGTAATCAACTATTTTAAGGTAAGAGGAAATCTCGATCATAAACCCAAGGATTTTGAAGGCCCTGATAATTTTCTTTTGTAACTTCGCTGTTAATAGACCATTACTATTAGGGATGAAGATGAGTCCATCATCCCGATATAGCCCTAGTACATTCGGTTTTACAATTCTACTAAACACATCTAAAATCTAAAAACATACGAGGTCTTCAACTTGAGCTGAGTCATACGCTCCCATGGGGACATCGAATTCGAGACAAGCATTTAGGGGCTGATGATAACCGTGTACAGAACGTCTTGAAATAGACTATCCTCTATTTTGAGGTAATTTCTGTTTTTTTTTTATTGCAATATATATATATATATATATATTCATGAATTATTCATACAAAAAAACAAATACAAAGGTTAATGATTTAATTGGCGAGAAATCCATCGTCGCGAACAATTCAAATAATATACAAAAACCCCGAACCTGTTTATGAATGAAAAGATCCTTGTTTCTATAAATTTCTGTTGCATGAGTTCTTATTATTTTTACAAGCTTTCGTCTGTTTCTACAGACATCCAGGTATGGAATAGATTTTGTTCTTGTTTTTTCTCTCAGTAATAAGAGGACAACGAAAATATATGTACTGTTGTAATTCGAAAAATGCTATTAGAAATGAGTTATTGTTTTTGGAGCGTGCTGTCGCAACGCTGAGTTTGAATTTAAATTTTACAATTGTGCGTTCTTATACAAATATGGTGATAAGTGAATTTTTTTACTGGTAAATTTTCTGTCAAAGTGGCATGAACTTTATTGTTCAATAATTACAGTAATGTCGCACTTATTATCCAAAAGTTGCATTTGGATCAGTTATATATATATATATATATATATATATATATATATATATATATATATATAATATATATATATATATATAGTGGGTATGAGTCTACCAAAAGTTTAAAGAAATGAAAACATAAAAAAATAAATAACCAAAACAGTAAAAAAAAATATGAAAAAATGTACTTACTCCAGCAGGACGTGAAAATAACATAATTTGAAGTGTATTCCTTCCTATAATAAAATAATTTGTAATGTATTCTTCTAGAAAAATCATTGGGTTTAATCAAGAATCTCTAAATATATAGCAGGAGCACCAGACCAGACATGGCAGCAATATTCATAGCAAAGATGAATAATAAACTTATAAATATGTAAGATTGATTATGGCGAGAAAAACAGTCTAAAAGACATAGTGAACATCCAGACTTTAGCAGCAGACTTTTGCAATGCATTCGTATAATAAAATAATTAGCAATGCATTCCTACAGTAAAAACGTTTGCAATACGTTCCTATAGTAAAATCATTTACAATACACCCTTTAGTAAAATAATTTGCAATGCATTCTTATAGTAAAATCATTTGCAATGCATTCTTATAGGGAAATCATTTGCAATGCAATCTTATAGGAAAATGTTTTGCAATGAATTCTTATAGGAAAATAAAGTAAAATCATTTGCTATGCATTCGTTTGTAAAGCATTCTTTTTTCGTAATGCGTTTCAATACGAAAGTAATTTTCAGTGCATTCACGGCCTACATCCTCATGGCTTCAGTTTAAACTGACGCCGATATTTCTTTCATATATCTAAGTTTTAATTATAAGCTACAATTTTGCAAAGTGTAAATTTCAATAAAATTCTCAAGTTTTCATTTGAAATCGCTAAAATCCAAACATTATGCAAAATGGTTATAATTCATGAAAAAAATAAAAATAAAACAAAAAAACAAAAAGTGTCAGTTTAGATTGACCCCAGGAGGATATAGGTCTAAACAGTCACCGACGTTGAACTTGAACTGGTCGTAACACATACAAAAAAAAAAAAAAAGGTTTTCCGTCACCCAGCAGTGTTTAACATACTGGTCTTATTAGACCGCTACTAGTCCTGTAGAATCTAAACACTAATGCACTGAATGGAAAATAAAAATAATAAAACAAAATACAAGTATAAATACTTTACCAATGTTTCAAAATTAACAAAATTAGATGACACAACATCTAGCGCCAACAATCAATAATGGCGATCATAGAAATATGAAACTGATCACGTGATAATTGTTAACCCCAACTTTGCGCCGTAATAAGGTGGTTTTGTAAGCATAGACCGAAAGTATGGGGCGCGCAGTGAGGATCGAACTCAATATTCAGTTGCAATTAATCTAGCGAGAAAAGCTTGCTAACCATTACACCACGTCGAAGTTATAATTTTTTAAAGTGCACACGAACTTTATGGACACCCTGTACATGGGTCTCATTAAAATGCGTGCGGAACTGAACGTTTCGACCATGAAACACGCGTTCGAATCTCACCACAGTCGATTTGTGAAGGAGGTTACTTCTTGATAATATCTATTCCGGCGAGACGATCGAAGTGGACGGGACCGTCGGACGTTACTTGAAAGCCAATATCCCACGGGTCGACCCAAGCCTTGTGAGCGTAACTGGCTTTGAGCGAACTAGTTAAAAACCGGTTAACCATTCGATCACCATAGTTAAGCAACGTCCAGACCGGTTAATACTTAGATGAGAAACCGCTTGGGAATACTGGTCACTGTAAGCAACACCCTGAAATCTGAAATATGTTTCGGCTTTAAATAACACCTACAGGGTTGATAAACCATAAATAAAATAAAATCAATGATCGCGGCCTTGTTTGGGCAAACAATCACGCCATATTATGCGTCCTCTCCAAGAAACAGTAACTAAGATTTTTATTGATTTGTATTTTTTGCGCCTTATCAACTTTTGCAGGTAAGTTAAAACCAGAAAATATTGTTCGATTGTTTGAATTCTTTGTAGATAATTCTGATTTACAGATATACGTTCTGTTAATTAATCCATAAGTGGGGGGGGAATGGATTCATTCATTTTCCAATAGTATTTGCGCGTAATCGAATATAAAGAATCCGACTGGAATTGAAATTCAGATCTCCAATTTCTAATCCATTATCCCTTACACCGTCCCTACATCCAAGCTTACAGCACCTGGTGTTCACAAGCGGTCACCCATCTTGGCACTGACCAGGCTCCACGTTGCTTAAATTAGGTGATCGTTCGAGAAGCGGTGTTTCAACGTGATATGGTCGTAAGATCTGTAACGAAAGTCCGCTCAGGATGGTTGCAGTATAAACCATAGGTAGGCTCTGTGGACGTTGAACAAATACAAACGTGTCTGAGCAGGCGTCTGCAATAGGGATTTCCTAGCAAAAGGGGAAGTTTATATAAAATATTAAGACCAAGGTTCTATTCTTTAGACAGTGCCACTCCTTCGGGAAGGGTCGGGTTTATTACCCGGCGTCCCCAAAAGAAGGAAGTGCCGTGGGGGATTGAGTAATTTTTCTAAGGTATTGCTGATAAACCTACTTTAAACCTCGACAGTTTATCATATCGACGTGGCGACGTGGGCGTGCTGAAAAATACCTTAGAAGAAACGCATGCTCGGATACAATCATTCAACCGTATATACGTGGGAAAATTCATCCGGAAAGGAAAATTTTTACATTGCTTTCCGAAATGGTAGAAGGTTGTTCTCCAAAGGCTTGAGTTGTTTGACGAGAGATAGAGTCAGTTAAAAAAAAATAAATAAATAAATAAAGTGTTCTTTTTATTAAAGAAAGCATATTTCAGGCCGGTAAACACAACAGGGTTAAATTGTTGTTGCTGTTTTTGCTTTTTTTTTTCTTTTCTTTTTCTTTTCTTTTCTTTTTTTTCCAAAGACCCTGGAAAATATTGCGGCCATCTGTGGCTTCAAAGATTCCATGATATCTGCATGAATACATAGACCGGGGATGATGTCTTTCATTGTTTCTCATCATGGCTGACTGAAAACACTGCATATCATTTTCAAGTAGCTGTCGAAAATCAAAGACGTCAAACCAGTCGAAGGTTGGCTTAGCAAACGCTTGGTGTTCAGTCACTCAGGCCTTGCTTGAGAGTCAAGCAGCAGCAGCAACAATAACAACAACAAAATCTAGTGATACCTAACAACGCATAAAGCCACTTCATGAACTAGCCACCAAATATAATCCGGTCCTAAATTCGTGCACAACGCAAGGTTTATCTTAAAACGAGATTAAAAATTGTCAGTAAAGAATATTAAATTCACGAAAGAGTTATATATATATATATATATATATATATATATATATATATATATATATATATATATATATATATATATAAGGATAGGATAGGTGTATACGGAATGAATTACAATAACCAAAAATACGATTCTTAAAAGAGTGCTCAATACAGAGTAGAGCTAATATAATTTATTCGAAAATTATAGCATAAACATGTTATAAAATCACTACAAAAATAGCCGTTAGTTTAAATAATTTTACAATATTTCAAACTTAATATAGGTTAAATTTAAAATTTAAAATTGGTAATTTTTAATTTTCAATTTTATAGTAAAAATTAATATTAATTAGAATGATTTCTATTTTAGTCTAACCCTAGCATTAAAGCATTAAATAATAAATTAATTAATTTTTATAACTAAGGTTCGTTGTCAAGTTTTTTGAATTTTCATAGACTTGTATTTTGATCGATCATTTTAGCTTATGGGGTTGATTTAAACATTTTAAAACTCTTTATTTTACGTTCTGCACCATCACTTGAAGTGTTGAAACAAAATGGATATTTTATAGTGATTTTATAAGATGTTTATGCTATAATTTTCGTATAAATTATATATATATGTGTGTGTGTGTGTGTGTGCGTGAAAATAATAGCTGGCCATTTGTATTTGAGGATACCCATCTACTAGGGCAGTTAGCCAATCCCTATTGCAGACACTTGCTCAGGTGCATTTGTGTTTATTCAACACCCACAGAACCCACCTGTGGTTTATACTGCAATTATGCTGAGCAGACCTTAGTTACAGTTTCTGGGAAAGAGTGTGTTATCTAGAATGATCAACAAACTGAACAAGACCAGCACACTCAAACCCTCGGCCACGATGACTTGTGACTTCGTGCTAGCACAGCTATTGACGGCCCCCAGGGGTTTCGTCTGCCCAGTTGGGTCAACCCGCGGTGTGGTTTTCAGACACTTTCCAAGGATTACTTTTTTATGGATACATTTATTTGAATAAATGCTCTGTTCCTTAATTTCCAAGGGTGCCGCAGGCTATGATCGTCCGCTCCAGACCGATAACATCAGGAAATCTACAAATTAACCACGATGAGATTCGAACCCGGTTCTCATGCCCAGAAAGCGAACATTCTAATCACTCGGCCAACACACACACACGCACACACACACACACACACATTGCTCATTTACAAGCCAAAACACCTAAGACGAGTATAATTACTTATATTTATAATATTATATATATACACACACACACACATATATATGTATGTATATATATATATATATATATATGTGTGTATGTGTGTGTGTGTGCGTGTGTGTGTGTGTGTGTGTATCTAAATATATTTTCTGTTTATACGTTATTTTTATGGATACATTTAAGTAAATGCTCTGTTCTTTAATTAAACGGTATTGATCACATTTACCTGTTCGATAAATTTCATAGAAAATATGCATTCTCCGGCAGAAATCTAACCTGCATCATATACGGAATCACCACTAAGTCTGGCGTGCTATAACCGTTCAGCCACGAAGAACTTCCAGTTAGGCTCAGCTCGAATTAATGCTTTTAAATACATTAGTAAATATACATATTAAATTCGAATTTAAATTTCGAATATAAAAATCTTTGTCTAGGACGGAGTCAGACAATTAATTATTTACCAAAAACCACCTGATACAATATACACAGTTTGCGTTATTCGGACTATTGTCCTCATCTTTGTCACCATATTTATTACAAAGATTCGGCCGTGGTGCGCTCCGGCCTTCTTCAGGTGGTTGGAATGTCGAACTGAACCCTTTATTTCGCTCACTGGGGTAGACTGTTCTAGTTCCACGAGCCATGTCTAATGTATGCCAGTTATCAGTTATCTCATGTTAATTCCCCTCTCAAGTTCTCCACCGCTTTAACCAGATTGAACTCACGCTGGTTGGGTCCTGTCACTGGATCGAAGTAACACCTTTATCCACTGTGCATATATATATATATATATATATATATATATATATATATATATATATATATATATATCACATTGCTTGTGTTAATAAAACAGTGCTCGATGTAATAAAACAGAGCTATTAATATATAGTGGTTAATATACAGATTATCCCCCATCGATAGCACAGCTAGGGGTTTCATGCACAGAGCAATCTTCAGGTGCGGAGTATTGACTGACCGTTACGTAATTTGAATTTTAATAAAAATAGGGTTATTGCAATGTTGACGTAATTATATATTATTGATCGGTGAAGGATAATATATATATATATTCGTTTGGAAAAACCTTAGGCGTTTTGGCTTGTAAATGAGCAAACCAATGGCCAAAGAAAAATAAAGGATAAAAAAGAAAGAACTAAGATAATGGTATTGGGGCGAAAACAATGAACCTAAAGAGCCAGGCAAACCTACCTAGGCTTCACCTACGCGGATCCTCAGGGTACGCTGACGATCCGCGTAGGTGAAACCTAGGCACATTTTCTTGGCTCTTTAGGGTCATAATTATATATATATATATATATATATATATATATATATATGTGTGTGTGTGTGTGTGTGTGTGTATTTGTGTGTGTGTGTGTGTGTGGCGTATTATATATATATTATATATATATAGATTACCTAGAATAGAGTTTTGGGGTACTGAAGAGCCTTGTTGTCGATTTTGGCTTGTAAATGAAAAAACCAATAATAAGGGATAAAAAAGAAAAAACAAAGAACATATAATTGAGGCGAAAACAATCGTCCAGAATCCAAGCTCAGAGTCCAAAGAAAAAAAACCTCCAAAACGAATAAATCAAAAGTAACTAAGTGCTCAATACACTAAGTAGAACAAACCTAACTATGAACCTAAAGAGCCAGGTAAACCTACCTAGGTTTCACCTGACTTGCCCTGACGACCCGCGTAGGTGAAACCTAGCTAGGTTTAGCTGACTCTTTAGGTTCCTAGTTATAGTTATATATATAAATATATATACGCTTGACAAAGTTCATAGTTATATATATATATATATATATATATATATATATATATATATATATATGACAACGTTAATACCTCGTCGCAACCCGAGCTTCACGCGATGTTTTAGCACTTTACTGCGTAGTTAAGGTTTGCCTTTAGGTTTTCTCGTTTTTTCTTATTGCTAAGACTTTATCTGGATAATGGGATTTGAGTTGTCCTTAGTTTTGTTTTTTCTTTTTTTTATTATATATATATATATATATATATATATATATATATATATATATATATATATAAAATTTAAATTTAATATTCCATGGTTATAATTTATTACATTGGAATCTTAATCACGATCCAATTCATCAGACATACAAATTCAAAAAAAGTTTATTTTTCTGATTTTTTTTTTTAATTTGTAGGTCTGATGAATTGGATCGTATTTACGATTCCAATGGAATAAATTATGACCATGGAATATTAGTGTTTAAGCCTTTTATTATATCCTTACTCTGTCCTAGACATTGAGTTCTACCTGGCTTCTGTCCTCTTGCAATTTTTTATATATATTTGTATATGTATGTATGTATATGCATGTATTTATATATTTTAGATATATATGTATATATATGTATAAGTGTGTATAGTAACCGCTAATATTATCAATATATATATATATATATATATATATATATATATATATATATATATATATATTAAAATACTTTTAAAATCCATATCGGTTATAATTTATTTCATGAATATTGCTATATTAACCTCTTCAGATCGAATATTTTAAGAAATGGAATCAATCCAGACAGACAGATATTATACCGGGAAAAAAAAAGAATACAGGGAAAAAGAGAGAGAGAGAGAAGTTGGGGCGAGAGAGAGAGAGAGAGAAAAGAAGAAGAAGAAGAAGAAGAAGAAGAAGAAGAAGAAGAAGAAGAAGAAGAAATTATTAATAATAAAAAAGTGAAAAAAAAAGAAAAATTACAAATATAAAATATTCTTTTAAACTA